CCTCACTACGGCTTGTTTCTGGATACTTGATCTGATTTTTCGGAATGATAATTAAGTGTCCCGATTTTTCTGTTGAGGCTTATGAAGTTGTTTGATTGACTATGCTGTGGTTAACATGACCTTTATAGGTTTTGAAGCAGGCGAAATCCTCTGAAATGTCAGCTAATGCCGATAAATAGTACATAATAGCAACCTCGTTTGGAAATCAAGTAAATAACGAGTTAAACAACAAGTATCCTTTCATTGCTACATTGATATGAAATTGGTTTAAAAGGGACTTTATTCCGCTGACGTTTTGGCGCCTTTGCTTCTTCAGAGGCCGATTACCTTCATTCCGGCAGTGCTTCCCTAGATTCGAAACGGTGCTATCACGAATACCCACATTGGAAGAAGGAGCTGTTGTAGGCAACCGACTAGTATCTATCCAGCTCTGAAGAAGGAGAAGAGGCCTAAACGTTAGGTGAATGGAGTTTTTATCAACGCCGTATTAGCTCGGTAATGAAAAAAATGCACGTTGATTAGTTACGCCGAGGTTAAAGAAAAAGTTAGTTTTGAAATATTTTCTGTATGCTGTATTCATGACATAATATCATGCAAACTAATCGGTGCAGAATGTTTTATTCTTCGCAAGTTTAGTCAAAACCGGCTGTCAGTGGGGATTAAGGCAAAGATCCAATCTGCATTACTCATGGGCAAAGAGGCTGCTTAACATTTTAGCCTTAAGTGACAGTCAATATCTCGTCAAATTAGCAGCCAATACTATCATTAAACTAGTGAAAGAAAAACGTTATTTACACGTTTCTACGTGAAGCGGCTCGAGGTTGTCGTGATCGACTCTACTCAAAGCACCTGTATTTGAATAAGTTTTTGATTGATTGGAAGTGGTTTTGCAAAACTTTTTCTGTGCCAAGGAAAACTGTCAAAAATAAGACGACATATTTTAAAGTCATATCTGCCATTAACCAATACCAGGTTCCTCCAGCGCTCTGGCATCAGAGTCGCATGGTGGCAAAACTTCCTTTGATCCACAAGGGCTGTGAATGTCTGTGTTGGAGAAGATCTGGGGCAGACTTTGACCAGGCTAACCTCGGAATCCCAGCGAACAGGCTTAACCAGAAAATCTCTAAAAATGGGGATTATACTGGAGCCCGCACAACCAGTGAAGACGGGCCATTCAAGTAACAAGTATCAAACATCTGCCACTATGATCACCGCTTGCGATTATGCTAAATGCATGGTATCCGTTGTTTGTTAAGACTCTTGTTATATACTACTTGAAAGTAGTACTACTGCTGCGTTAAGTTTTCTGTTATGGCATACAAGTCAGTAGCTCTGCAGCGTAATGCCTAACAGGTGCACTGCCATACACGCGTGGTCATTGACTCGATCCTTTGTCCCAGGTAAACCAACTCCTTCTTCACTCAGGGGTCCACAGTCCAATAGTCGTCTCAAAGGATAGAAATATGGACTTGATTCCTTCTTTCCTAGTTAGAGTTCATCGACTCACTGTTTAGCTAAATATGTGTATTAAACTACCTCTACTAAGCTGAATAGAATCAGGTGCATGGACATCCTCTGGGGACTAATCAACGCCGAACATTTCACCTTTCATTTCATCATCTTATCACACAGGGCAAGCTTTTATGAACTTTCTAAAATTTATGAGGTGAATCCGTGTTCTTACTCATTTTCTCTCATTCTTTCAAGGCATTTCCATCTTGTTCAAACAGCCTAATTGATCACTGAAATGCTTTTATTATCCGGCATATTTAAATATTTACCATGGATTTAACGCAGCGGTATGATGCAAGCACTTGATAGACCCACACCGGCCAGCTATCAGTCAGTTTCTCATCACTCAAAATTGGCAGTCATTGTCTCTTGATTCTTACTCGAAATATAAATAATGTATAAATAATGAGCAGATGATGTCTAAAAAGCATCCTAGGTTCAGATTTATTTCATCTCTAGGGGTTCACAGGGTAACCTAGAAACTACAAACATCTACCATTTCAGCAGTTAAGTGCTTTCATGTCTACTGTTTACGAGTGGTGTGGGAGCTGGCACAATTGTCATCTTGTATATTACAGATTGGATAAGATTCTAGGCTCAGCCGTGACCACAGCGTGAACAGCCGTGTCGTATCGTAAATAGTCCATAAGAACACAGAGACCAAGGCTGTTTACCTCTTAGACTTCCTTTTCATTTTGAGTGCATCCAAAAAGATCAGTCACTTGCCGTAAGCAACAATAGTGTATTAGTCTCTCAGAATAAAAGGATTCAGAGAAAATTTTTTTTTATTGAGAGGTTCTTTTCCTTAATGAAAGATTTAGGAAAAGTTTCATCCATACAATAGCTTTTTTAACGTTTTAAGAACACTCTTGATACCGTATAATCAGCGCACTTATAAGAGTAATATCTCGTACCTGGAGTTTTTTCCTTGTGTGAAATACCGGTGAATTTTATTGAATTTTAACGGAATTTTATTCTCAGAGGTGCTTGAATTTTTTAGGAAAAGATTTTCACATGAGTGCTGTGATGTGAGCAAAACTCGAAACAACAGGTTGGCTTATAACCCGCGATAACACCTTCCAGAGATGGTTACTGACAGCACCATTGAAGAAAAAAAAATTGGGTGAGAGAATGATAAAGCAAGGCCTTTGGCTGGTGCAGTGGATAGTACGTGGGCCCTTGGTAAAATAGTAACGGGTTCGAAGCCCAACTGAGGTTCGGAGTTTTGCTTATATCTGAGCATCCTTGTGGTCGTCTTTCACATATTACTGTGTCATGAATAAAGGAATGGGCAGTACGTGAAAGTTAAACAGTTTCTCACAATTCTCTTTTTCGTAAAGTCATGTATGTGTGGTTTGCCTAAGACAGGATAATAAAAAAGTCATAGCGCCCCCGTGTACCCGAAACGAGTTGAGTTTTGCTATGCGATGAGGATCAATAGAGAATAGGCAAGTATTCGCATATTTAAGGATTACATGCACATATGGTTTTTGGAGTTTGTTCTTGGGTTTCGGATAAAACGCGTATGTTCTCTAAGTTAATCTATAAATCACATGCTATCCCTCGTTTCACTGTGACTCCGGACTAGGTTCTATAGCGTTATTTGAAAGATGTGTTTAACTTAACGACATCTGTGTTGGCTACTGAAGTGCTTCATTGAAATATACTCCCAAATTAAACAAAGATAGAGTGTTGTGTAAAAAGAAACAGTGGAAAAAACGATGAAGGTGGAAAGGATAGTGCTTTTGTTAATCGCATTACAAAGTTTATAACAGAGGTATAAATCGTAAATCATAAATGACACCTTACCCTGGATTAAAAATCTACCACCCTTCTACATTGAAAGATACAAAAGTAAAACAGCTGTCGCAAATCGTTAATGAAAAGCACTCTATCACATTTTATGCAGTTTAGTACAACTGAATCTAGGATGGTTCCAGAATGGGTGAGTTCAGTTTTGACCCTTCAGTGATTTCGAGAAATACACCACGGAGCCGGCATCGGTTCGCAGAATACTGAAATATATCCTGCATAAAGTAGGAAGCCACCGGACGATGACGGTTACTTTGATTCAATATATTTTATGTTTTCAGAAAACAATCGCATCCATAAAGCATCAAATAACATGTATTTTTTCTCCAGCTTTGATCTATAAATTAAAACTCGAAGCGCTTCAAGCAATTCCTGATGGTCGGTTGACATAACAAAATTGTTGATAAAGCTACCTCACTTTCAAAATCATTCACTCTGGTAGTGAAAATCGCCAAAGGAATGGTCTCGGAGCCACAAATTTGTTTTGAGTGGTGTTATGGTAAATGACTTCACAGGGATAGGTATGTCACATTCTTTGATGCCATTACCTACAAATCTTCGCTATGAATTTTGAAACGAACGTGGATCTAGGGAATACGAGTTATCAGTTGTGATCATTATTGCTGACATCAAGTCGTATGTGGGGAAATGTCTGAAGAAGCGTAAATAAGATCCACAGATCGAAGTGAAATGAACTGAATAGGAGATTGCATTTAGCCTACGATATCGTCTTTGGACAACGGAGCCCCGTCCGTTGGTTATTAAGATGAAGTTCACCGCACCGTCTGCAAGCCGATGTCTCTGTTTTTCACAGCTATGCACGAGGTGTATCAGACATTTTACTCGTTAGTAGTCGTCACTCTCACAATGAAAATAGAAACCAAAAAAAATTACCGAATTTACTTTGCATCTCAGCTTTTCACAAAACAGCTTTCTAGAAATGTTAGTAGAGGTTATAGTCGGACCATTGAACCTCTTAAACACTGGGAGTCGAAGAGCACGAAACTTGAAGAGAGGTACATCCATAACCTGCTGGAGCGAAACGCCAACGAAATTTCCATAGACAACTACGATGTCAACCTATACTTAAAAGACAGTGCTCTACTGCAACGAAAATAACAAAAAAGACTTTACATAATCTGGTCTCCGTCGTAGTACTGTGAAAGTCAGATATCGGGATATTTCCCCGCCAGTGTTAACCAACACTGCAACAAGGCTCTGCGGATGGTATATTTATGAGTGCAAACCACCCAGGCGCTGTTCGTCTACAATAAAGGAAAAACATCGTATCAGCAGCTATCAAGGAATCTCCGTCCTCTATGTTTTTTTTTCAGAGAGTCACCTTAAACAGAACTTTGAACAGAAGACAGTTATGCTAAGGAGTAAGCCGTTAAAAGTTTTCGATACAATGCATCATATACAAGCCATTCTGAACTTACCAAGGCAACCCACAATGCACGCTAGTACACCGTTAGTCACAAAAGTCACTCTAGCGTTTTGTAGATTAATAGGTGTGGAGAATAACTTTTGACGGACCACGTCTGGCAAACATTTGTGTTCGATAGGCTGTTTATTAAATTAAAGTAAGCGGCGGCAAAATTGGCGGTATGAAAGAGCATTCGTTGAAGTCAATGAATGTTGTGACTTATGCGCTAAAATCCTTTAATATAATTCGTTCAATTCACTAACTTCTCAATATTGAAGGGCAAACGCTTGGTGCGTATGTGTCGACAGAACCTGGCATCGTCGTGATTGGGTGCATATCCAGAGCACGAACACGACGGTGTGCGGCAAGTTCGCGCTTCAACGATTCCCGTATCCTGGTACCTGCATAGCAAAAATCAAGAATCCAGTAGTCGAAGGAAACTTTTAAAACGTCTATAAAACCCGACTGTCTTTACTAAAAGAGGAATAATTGCATGGAACCATACGTTATTAATTTCCCACACTCCACTAGGCACCCTACTGGATACCAATAACAATGCCTGGTATGAAGTAATTTGTGAAGAAACTATTATGTGTTTCATCTACTTAGTCACGTAGCCGTAAACGTGAAGAAGAGCACAGATTTCCTGATTCTTCAAATTCTCTTCGCATCGAAATCTTTCCTAGTTTTCCTTTTACTTCTTCCGCAAAATTCACTCTTTTTTAATCCAGAGGGAATATTCCTTCAATATTAGTCTTGTTATTCTTGACAATCCTATTGGTGCTATAGACTGCTTCTACAATCCTAAAACAATACAGTTTTACAAAGCATTTTTGTAGCTGGCATTCACAGAGAAAGAAAATGCCGGTGTTTATAACAGTAACATTTTCTTACAGATGCGCCCTCGTCGTTCAAAGCGCAATTGGACCAGTGCCACCGTCATATAGGTGAAAATGTGTGCAAGTAAACTACTTCACATATCAGTTATGCAAGTTTCGTAGACAAGGTTATTTGCGAAAAGCACACGAATGACATCCGAAGGTTTTATAATTTTATAATAGCATTAGGAGGCCTCCTTTCAGCGGTTTATCACCTCGTCGTGGTTGGGAGGTGTTTCTGGGTGTCGAGCTGCGATGTACGGTGGAGGGATTCATCCCCTCCGTAGGATCTGCAAACTTAGGAGTCCGGCGTTTCCATCAAAAAATCCGGCTAACAACAAACCAATACCAGGATCAGGATCTACCACTGTTCTGGTATCAACTTAGTCGCATGGTGATAAAACTCCCTCTGATTCAAAAGCGCGACGACTGCCTGGTGTGATGAAGACCTGGGGCTTAAACAGCAAATCTCTAAAAAACGGAGATTTTGCTGGGGCCCACAGAACCTGTAAGGACGGGCCATTCAAGTATCAAGTAACTAAGTTAAAGGACCAGAAAGAACATTCTTTCAAAAAAGAGACTCCTGACAACGATAACATTTGGAAATAAATAGAAATAAATTAGTAACTATTAGTGATGTGTTTTTTTGTTATTGCCTGCTGTATTGTTTGCACAACTTTCTGCAGCAACATGAAACGCCAGGAAAATTTTTAAAAGTATTTTCACAAGCAGGGTTAGTTAGGGATGCTCGATAGCAAGCACGTGGTTTCTGGCTCGATACGATTAACGAAATCTGAGATTCACTAGACCTTCCATCCCTCTGGGGTCAGCAAATTCGTATCCAGCTTGTCTGGGAAGAGAGATCCAGACACACAGCGGGAGACCACAGCGAATTATTGTATAGGTCAGTTTTGTGTCCACGCACTCCTACGATTCTCATTCGAGTCGAATATATGGCACCTCCTAACGAAACTGATCAACGAAATGATTTACCATTTATTCCTTATCTTTCTCACAAAGCGACTAGCATTTAAATCAGCGCATTAAAGAGATGAAAGCTCACTGACAGTGACCCGAGTAGTAGCTCTGAGATGAAAGAGAGAGCTTACAATGCGTACGGATACTGCTGCACACTCTTCTGCTTGTCGACTTATTAAAATATTTGCTTTGGTACTTTTGAAAAACTAGTTCGACATAATATGAAGCGCCAGATGGTGGTTTACACTGAAGTAGTTTTATGGGAGAATACTATTCTATTAACCATAAATTCAATACCAATGTAAGCAGGTAGCTCACTCGTGCGCTAACCAGTGCCTACTAACCTACTATCAACCCTTGTTTACAGTACACATAAAATCTGATTGAAATTGTCCATTGTTGAGTAGACGTATTATTATTAACAAATTTTACTAAAAAGTGTACAGCATCAGAACTATAGGAACTATAAGAAGAACCATAAGAAAACCTCACTTCTTCAGCACTTTACTCACACAACTATGAGTGATGCCGAGTTGTTTGGCGATGTGAATCTTTTTCATTCCAGTCTCGAAAAGTTGAACGATCTTCTGCCGATCACATGTCAGCAATGGACGACCCGAGATGTACGGACGGCCGTAGCGATTACGAGATTGATACGGTGCTCAAAATGAAAGAAAAAACATCTGTAGGAGTAATAAAATATGTTTTCTTCCACACTACTGCTAAAATAAAGCAAGGAAAAATGCAATCCAACTACTGGCGTTTGCTTATAAAACCGAAAAATCTGGTGAAGTTAGGACAGACGTAAACATTAGAAAAGAAATTGGATAAAACATGAAGTAGGAAAATCTAACAAATCAGGTTAAAAGAAGCTCCTCTATGACGGATAAAGAGAAAGTTTAAGTATAAACATCTTTATGCGCTTCTATGTTTAGTACTCATTGTAGTGCAGTGGTTAGGAATGTCCTGCTAAAAACACCTAGTCGTTTGTTCGATTTCACACCCAAGGAACGCAATCTTCACCATCTTCCAAATCTGTAAATTGGTGTCATGCTTATCTGAGAGGATAAAAACACCGAATTAATAAATTACTAGGCCAACACTAGTCTCGTATGGCCCAAGCATGCATTAAGTTATTTCTGCTTAAATTTCGATCAGATGGAGGCGATTTCATAGCATATTTCTCATGAATTGCTCAATCCCAACGGCCCGTCCCAATGGGCTACCACTTTCTTGCAGCGTAAACGGTGTTTATGGTTTCGGTACATATTTTTTTCACGCAATAATGAGTTCGATACGGAACCCCGACGTCTCGAGAAAAACTACGACAGTCAGATGAAAATTGAACTCGGCCATGTCTTATGTTCGGTGAAGACAATCCATTGAATCATTAAGCATTAGTGCCTTAACAGACTTTCCAATCAAAATAGAGGAGACATCTGTGAATTATGTGTACAACGAACCGTTGAACTTTCACATTTACTTTGCAGACGATATCGAAAATTTGCATATAAACAAAACCGCTTGAAAGAACCACCTGTTATCTGTATATGCAAAGAAAGGGTAGAAAAAGTCGGCTTTCAGTGAGTTCCAATTTATTTCACTTAGATTCACCTATTTCGTAGATTCACTACTGGCAAGAGAAACCACTATGAGAAGAACATCAGTACAATTTCATTTGAGAAAAAGGGATGTGTCAGCACATCAAGCGATTGAAAACGATTGTAAAGTCCACGCAGCATAACCGACTTTTTGCTCGTTAGTTATTTATTCATTTCCTTTCAACCGTTTGCCCTCTCACCGTGGGTGAGAGCTGTTCCTGGGTGACAGGTTGCAATGTACATCAGGGGATTGATGCCCTAGGATCTCCGAAGCTGAGAAGGAGTCCGGTGTTTCTATCAGAGAGCCGAGCTAAGAGTAATGCCAATACCAGGATTCATCTCCGTTCTGATATCAAACTAGTCTCAAGGTAGCAAATCTATACCTCTCTGATCTACAAGGGTAGTAACGCTTAATATTAGTATTTGCCATCGTAGATTGTTCCGCTTGAAACGAGGTGCTGTGGATTTTTTTTAACCAACTAACGTAGACGTCGCAACGTTACACCAAAAAAAATTCGTTAATACCTTTGTGTAAGCAGAACAATCTAAAAATCTATTGATTAATGAAGCTGGGATTAATAGGTGACTCTTGGGAAATATGTATCTGCGTTTAAACGAAATAGTCGCGTGCAAGAGAGTGATTGGAGGCGCCCTGCTATCTCATTTGGTCGTTGGTTCGATCCAGCATAAAAAGCAAATCAGGCATTTATCCATACGGGATCGCCGTAACCCTAACAGCCTTGCCTAGGAGATACATACAGTGATTTCATAACAGGTAAGCTCTTGAAAGTCATCGTCTAAGCCAAATATGTATTTACGGTCTTGAATGAATGGTGCCCTTTCGAATAATAAGTCAATGCTTCAGACTTTCCTCCAAATTTTGCCTTAGTTAGTCAGCATGTTGGACTGTTCGAAAAGCTTGCTCCACGATTTGATAATGGCTTAAAATTTTACTTCTTTTCTCTCAATTTAGCTGAAGTTTGCTAATTTAAACTGATTCTGCCTGAATTTATAAAGCTACGGTGCTAGGGAGGCCCAATATAGTGACGAGTAGTCTGCCCATAGCTTTTCTGAATTGGGGAGGTACTTTACGGTTTCCGGCCAGGATTCCTGTTATAAGTCCGAACAGTTCATGAACACTTGTGTAACAATCTGAATTTGTTGTTATTGCCATTATTGATGTTATCATTATTATCCATAATTTTAACAATGATTACTCACAACTGACGTAGCATATTCTTTGAAATTCCGACAACATTGTCAGCATAGAGCTTATCACCGTATTTTCCCGTTGATTTTATTAAATTTTTTGATCCAGTAGGTGGCCTGTTAACGTTTTCCCGAAGAAGCTGGTTTTTCGACAGTTGTCTACAATTTGACGATAATTCAGAACCAGAGCATTTAACGACCCTATAAGAGAGACTGTGACTATATTCGCTTGAAAAATTCGCCGATGTTGCTTAGTACACAGAGAGTGCGATGCTAACAACCTCGTATCAACTCGGGGCTCATGTTGCACAAAGGTTAGAGGTGCACGTACACGTTCATTTGAACCAGAGCCACGGAAAAACCAAGCCCTTTACTACTCTTGGGCCGGCGAACTGATAAGTGATCTTTCTGGAAAAGCTGATGCTCTGATATCTGCAGACCTCTGCAAGTCATTATAGAAGCAGAGACGCGTACAATTGATTGGTCGATGCAGCGAATAGAGCTAAATGCATGCTTCATCCCTAAGGGTTGATCGCAGCCGAAGGCTTTATCTATTATCGCATATCAGCTCATCACGAACACACAGACGTACTGGTCACTGTCGAAGTTATCTGTATTTAAGTCATTCTTTAGAGATTATTCATTTGATGAATGTGAGATGTTTTTGAAGAAGGAATCATGTAGTGTATAATATTGTACTAGTCATTATTGGTGGGAGTATTGATCCTCCAGATCTAGGAAATAAAGAGAACACAGAAGTACACACTATTGAAATAACAGTCAAACTAATGACAAAAATTGCAAAGAAGAAATTCACCATTTGTAGGAGGCTGTGTGTGAATGATTGGTTCCATGAATGTGTTCCTCATTCTCAGTGAATGAGAAAACGATTCCAGCAGAAGATTATCAATTGAGCTCTTCTGAACATGACTCGCTGAATCAATAATAATTTCTCTTGCATTCAAAAACTCACTTACCATACCACTTGGATCAGACGTGCTGAAAAATCAGTGGATCTTTGGTCTACCTAAGTAAGTACTGTATTTTCACTAATTGAACAATTTTTGTGTAAACCGCGTTCGAGATGCTTTTCGATGTAGTTCCAAAGCAGTCAAGCATTATATATGCAGGGATAATGTCTAGTTTGCAAGCTTGGAAGAATTGGTACATCATATTTTCCTTATGTACAAATTGTAAAAGATGAAGCCTGCGAAATTGATCAACACTTCTGGCATGAAATATGCATTCAAATCCATTCGTAACATCGTTCTGCGTGTTTGGCTTGTGCAATGAGTTGCGGTGGTTTTCCTGCATCGAATAATTAATTTTAAGACCGTCTACAGCTTTTCGATGTGGATTTAGTTCCTTCATGAGGAGTGTCACTGGATTCCGATCGAGTTCATTCACCGTGGAATCTTGGGATAGCTCTTGCAGAGTCTTGTAGCTCTTCATAATAGAAGCAAACCCCATTACAGCGTTTCACAGTGGAAGCCGCCTGAATTTGCAGATCGAAAGTGCCTTTGCAGAGGAGCCCGGTAGCAATTTGGTTACCACAGAAGAGTGGTAGAGATAGTTAGAACAAACGAAGACGAACAAGCGACCACGAGTGTGAAGCGCGGCTTCTCTAACTACTTCTCTACCCAAGCCCACATATATTTATGCATACATATATTTTGTAAAACGTCTTTTCTTTTGAAATGCTTAAATTGAAATTCTAAGAATATTAAGAACTAAAAAGTTGAATTCTTAATACAATCGAGGCGAAAGCTTACGTGCAAATAGAAGGTCGGAATTTTATCGTGGTACAATGAGACATCTGAGAAGTGAAAATTCTAACGACTTTTTCTCAATGATGGTTAATAAATGAAGTTCACGGTAAGCTAAAATTTGGTTGCTTAACACACAGCGCCAGGTAATCAATGAATAGAAAGCATTCGATGACGAAAGAACGGCCGATTTCGACTTCACGTAAACAGTTTGATTCCCAGGAAAGTTTACTAAATAAAACAAAAGGCAATAATTTCGAATTTTTATTTACTGCCTATTAGTATTTTTCGCGACAGGATATGATCCGAAATACTTCCACAATGATGCTGAGATATTCGCAAAACTAGGACCCCAAGCGAGATTCGAACTCGCGATTACCATTTCCGAGGACTCAGATTTTAATTCACCGTGCTACTCAGTGATTACACTAGCCATTTCTTATTTTTTAAGCGTACCTTGGAAATTTATTTTGTAGACATAAGACTTCTCAATATTAATAGAAGTGACTCGATCTTCAGTTACTTATCAGTCAGTTGTACACCTTCCATGGCCAAAACGATTTACAATAAGTGCATGGTCCGGATTTGTTCAAATACCTCTAAGGACTGATGCACATAAACGCATGGAGCGAGAAAATGTGAGTCTGGCGTGACAGAGACAGCAAGACATAGGGAGTCTCTTCCATCGACACAACTAGGTATGACTGTTACAAACAAATGGCAAGGTGGCCCAGTTATTGGGTGTAGTACTGCACCACTGAGAACTCAGCCAGTTCTCTACCTAATGGTGCGACCAGCAATAAAGGACATTGAATTCGATGGAAAACCATTAAAGTCTTTGCGTACAAAGTACATTGCTTTGCTCTATGATAATAAAACGCTGATTTTCTCTTGATGAAAGTCAAAAAAAATATTTCTTTCCATTTTTGTTGAAGATCCTTTTACCAATCACGAAGGAATTGATAAAAAACAGGGTGGCGTCCA